TTTTTTTTCCTATTACTATCATTGTCATAGGAGAAAGAATTGATATAAGAGTATATTGACCTGTACATCATCTTAATTATGGGACCAATGTTCATATTACCAAAAATGAGACACACTAATATCATGTCTATAAAACTGATCTGGTGTGATGTATTAAGAACATAATATCCCTTATGTAGGATTTCTGCCCAGAAATTTATCATCTGAATCTAATCATGAGGAAGCTATCAGACAAAGCCAAATGAAGGAACATTCTTCAGAACAATTGGTCTGTCCTCCTTAAAATTATCAATGCCATGAAAGACAGAGAAAGGCTGAGGAGCTAGATTAAAGGAGTCTAAATGATATGACAACTGGATGTGATGAATGATACTGAATTGGATCCTGGGTCAGAAAAAAAAGTTACAGAGATATTGAGACAATGGATTTATATAATAATAAACATAAATGTGGTTTATATAAATTTATATATTAGATAATATATAAATGTTCAGTTTTTAGATTTGATAGTTGCATGGCAGTTGCATAAAAGAATGCAACTGTTCTTAGGAGACATATGCTAAAGTTTTAGGGGTGACAATTTATGTTTATAGCCTACTCTCATATGGTGAGGTGGATGAGGAGAGAGAGAGAGGGGAATTGAGAGAGTGCAAATGTGGCAAAATACCAACAACTGGTGAATCTGAGTAAACAGTTTACAGGCGTTCATTTGAAATGAGTCATTCCTGCAACTTTTCTGTAAGTTTGAGAACCTTCCAAATAAAAAGGTAACAAGGATAAGAAAATTGCTAACTACGTGTTTAATGAAAAGATCGAAATAACATATTGAACTTTAAATAAACATATCACCTGAAAGGTCATCTCCAGGAGGGGAGTTTTTTGAGTGCTCTCCTTTGGTCAAATCTTCCTTTGATTTATGTGTATTTATTCTGTTTTACCTGCAATTTTAGTTAGTTGCTTTTGAAATCCAGTTTTAGGTGGTCGATGGTGTTGACATTCCTCGAGAAAACTTGCTGGTGGTGGAAGTTTTTATACAATCTTACTCTAGTGCTGGGCTTTATTTTCTAGTACTTCAGTTAAATTTTTATGCTTTCAGACCTAGATCTTTCCTTCTTAAGGTAGCTTTGAATCTACAGGGATGATGACTGTAGGCGGAGCCAGGTTCAGACCCTAATCCTGGAGGTTAGGGAGGGGCACCAGGGCTCCAAACAAAGGTAGAGATGATTTTGGACAAATAACCCAGCACACCAAATAAGGCAGGAATTCTTACGACCTTCCCTAAGCAAGGAGACGTGGAGACACCGGCAGTCGCGAACTTGATGGATTACAGCGGGAGAACCCAGGGAACCGGTCCTTTGCGGCTCCTTCTGCGCATGTGCAGTCCTTCCTCCTTGTTCGCCAGCTCCCCTGTCTCCAGCTGCGCTGCAGGTAACCCTGGAGCCTCCAGGTCGAAGCATTGCTCGGTGACCGGGTGCTGCACGAAGGATGTGCACTACAGGTGAGAACCTAGTACGGAGGGTTGCTTTACTGGGTTTGGGGTAGGTTTGTGCTCACTTCTGGCGGAAGCAAAAACTTGAGGGAAACCCACTTGGGCTGAGACCCTATTGCACTTGTTCTGGAGTCAGCTATGCATTTGCCTCTAGAGAAAGTCAAGTGACAGAGCAGCTCAGCTGTGGACCCACAGGTTGCACAACAGGGTAAGGGCACGGGTTTTTTCGTCAGAATAAAGTTCGCTGAAAAAAGGCATCTAAATGTTAAAAGAGCTGTTTCCAGAAGCTCCTCGAATTTGCATGTGCCCTGGCCAACCACCATCAGCGAGACAAACCCAGGACACTGGAAGGGATGAGAATGAATTCTTATAACATTTGGTATATGCGTGCAGGCTAAGGGCAGGTGGTGGATCTGAAGACATAGCAGTAAGAGCCCAAGTCTGAATGAAGACAGATGAGTTCAAATTCCAGCTTTGCCCCTGAGTCTCCATGGGCAAAATAACGAGCCTCTCAGACTCAGTTTCCCTATCTGCAAAATGAAGTTATTCCTAAAACCTGTCTCAAGGTTGTTCTGAGGATTGAATAAGGTAACACCTGTAAAGCACTCCACACAGGTCCTGGCATTCACTAAGCACCTGGGAAGTGTTAATTGCCTTTATCGTTGTTCTCTTTATTAAGAATATTATTTATTCTCAAAGATCTCCTTTAAAGTCAATATTAACCATCCCATTTTAACCCAGAAGAAAATTAAGACTGGAGGTAAAGTCTCATGGACAGTAAGTGAAGCAGCTGGAACACAAACCTCAAACAGTTTTATTTCCAAATCCCATGTGGGGTTTCATGCAACACATCCTTCACAGCATTTAGCAGAGTGGCACGTCCCCAAGAGCTACAACAGCCTGGAGCACTTGAGGACTGAGTCTTCTCTAAAGGTTCTGGGAGATTTCTTGGTGTCTGTTCAGAACCCTCAGGTTACTGCAAAACTGACTGGTCCTTCACTGTCCATCTGTCTCAGGCCCTCAGCAGTGTACAGACCCCCAAGCCAGATTTTCCGGCAGTGGTTCTCAGACACGCCATTAGCTCACCTAGAGGGCTGGTTAAACCCAACAGCTGCTAGGCGCACTCCCAGGGTTTCTGGTTCAGAAGGTCTGGGAAGGAGCCCATGAATTTGCATTTCTATCAAGTACGCAGGTGACACTGGTGCGCTGGTCCAGGGACCCCACCGTGAGACTGCTGATGTAGGGGACGGTGAATCAAAGAGACAGCTGGGTCCTGGGCTGCAGATTCTAGTTGTCTGAATTAACCTCTCCAGCCAGGTCCACACTCCCCTGGATCACACAGTTCTTGTGAGGAAAGAAGGTGGCAATACCAGGAGCAGACCTCCCGCCTGGGAGATGCCCACCCCACCCAGGCGCAGGTCACCACAGCTGCAGGGCACAGATCCTGGGAGCAAGCCGATTCTCAGAACCACTCAGAAGTGAGTCCTGGTCCTTTTGTCCTAAGGGACAGCGCCACGCCAGACGTCAGCCAAGGTGTGGCCCGACTTTCAAAACAGAGAGGTGAGCTGGGCTGAGGGTGGCAGAAGAGGAAACCTCGTGGACAGTTAATGAGGACACAGTCCCCAAGGAAGGCCACGGGAACGCCTCCCCATACCCTGAATTCTCCAGTCCCTCTCCTGGGATTCTGCATGGCTCTCCAGCCGCACCCATTGCCACATCTAGAATTCAGGAAGATGCTACCCGCCCGCTATTCCTGCGGGAAAAGTTTTCAGGCTTATATGGTCATGCCTCATTTTAAAGTGAATGATACTGGGCCTGAGGGAGTAATTAGCATAGGGCTAGGCACAAGGTTTCTGGAGCCAGACTGCCAGGGCCCAAAGCCCAGCTCTGCCATATTTACTGTATTCCTCTCGATTTCCTCATCTCTAAAATGGGAGGAATTGTAATACCTACATCTTGCTTTATCTTAAGGAATAAATGAAGTACTGTATGTGAAGTACTTAGAACAATACCTATTACATAGTAAGTGCTAGACAAGTACTGTCAGTTTCATTAATATTATTATTTATTATTGAATATTAATACCTAGATTATTTAAATCTGTTTGCATTGTTCTTAGTGGCAGAATCAGAAGGAGCGTCAAGGCCCGCTGACTCCCAAGCCACTGTTCTGTCCACCATGTCTCAGTTAAGTCCAAACAACTTTCCTGATAAGAGATCCACTGTTCTGTCCACCATGTCTCAGTTAAGTCAAAACAACTTTCCTGATAAAAGATCCTTCAGAGACACTGAAACCAAAGGAGAATAAATCCCTATTTAAAAAAACAGACTCCCTTAACACACGGCTATCCCTGTTATCAGACGTCCCTATTAGTTCTTTAAGGAGCTAAAAATATAAGTAGAAAAATAAATGAGCAGATCTCTCTTATCAGGTGTTTGTTCTTATATCATTCTTTGCACTTTCTAAAATGGAAATATCCAAAACATACAATAGTAAAGAAAATAACATAATGATTCTGGTGAACTTGTCACAGCTTCAGCAGTTATCAACACTTGGACCATTTTGTTTCGTCTTTTACCGGCCCCCCAACACACATGCACCCTTGTATGCTCTCCCCTTCCACCTTCCTCTACTGGATTATTTTGAAGTATATCCCAGACATCAAAAACTTCACATAGATGAATTATTTCACCTGTTAAGCACAGCACAGTGAAGACAAGTAGCGACTCTGTGGCATGTTACTACGCTGATGGACAGTGACTGCAGTGGGGTCAGCGGGGGACTTGATAATATGCGTGACTGTAGTAACCACAATGTTGATCATGTTAACCTTCATCAGAGTGTATATCAAAGATTTTTGTTTTAAAGTCACCTGTTTAATAATGGCCAAAGGCATGGTGTGGCATCCTGGCTATGCTATGATTTGTGTTACAACCAGGTCTTTCTTAGTTGGGCTTTGTCTTGTTTCTTGTTTGTCTGCTATTTAAAAAGGCTACATCATAAGAAACCAATAAGAAAAAAAAACATTTACTCTCCCCAGTGGAAAGCCAGCTTCGTAGCATCCTGTGGTTATACCAGGGTTCTGAGTCCCTGGAATACCCACCCCTTCTGAAGGGTCAGAGATGTCCTTACACCACGTAGCTGTTGGTCTGCTAATATGTGTGGATTTCTAGGCAAGTGCCACGAGGACCTTCAAAGTGACCATATTTCTCATGATTTCCTTGCTCCTTCCCTTTCCTACAGCTCTGCCTTCACAGTTCTCTAAGCTTTTCCAAGAGCAGGAGAAAATGAACACATCCCCAGTGAGCTGTTTACTCATTACTACTTGACTTTTTCAGTGACATCTAAGAGTTCCTTTGCATTTTTAGTAGCCATGCTTTCTGGTTGTTTTCATTTCATTTCCTTTATTTCATTTCCTGACTTTGTCCCTGTATCATTATTTTACTTTCCTTGTTTCCTCTTCCCATGTTTTTAAAGTTCTAAGTTTTATCTTTATTATTGATTACCTTTGACATGTATAACACATGTAAAGGCATTTTTCTATCAATATAAGGAATTGTTTTCATCTATAATATCATCTAAATAAAATGTACTCCTTCCTTTTCTCAGGTCTTACAGAAATCATCTAAATGCTTTCCTTTTTCATTTTCCCTTTTACATAATAAATATTTTTAGAATTCTCTGTTACCAATCACATCACACCTTCTCACTACTTGAACAATGATTATTTCAATTCTAATATATATTTCCTGGTTATTTTTGCTGTCCCAAGTTTGAAGATAAAGTGACAAATTATAATAATTATAATACTACCTACAATTTAGGGCTGCTTATTATGTTCCAGGCACTGGTGTATGTCCTACCTGGATTAGCTCATTTAAGTCTGACAACTACATTATGAGGTAGGTTGTTTTATTATATCCTTTTTGCTGAAAATATAAGTAACAGATTTAACTCAGGTGCTTGTAGCTGGAATCATTCTAAAGATGCACCATGAGAAATCTAGCCATATGGAGACCTGGAGTCTAAATGCACTGCAAGCTCCACCACCCAGCCCCAATTTTCAGAGCAAGCTAACATCTGCTTATGTTCCAGCCCAAGAACTTGGAATGGGAAATCTCTTAGGCATAGGGTTGCCAGATAAGACACAGAGCATATAACACAGAGTACATCTTGCATAGGACGTTCCAACACTGAGGACTTAACTTGTTTTTTTTTATCTGAAGTTTAACTGGCTGCCCTGTATTTTTATTTACTAAATCTGGGCACTCTACTCAGATAGAAAGAGCATGCCAGGTGCCCTCTGCTGGCCATTGGCTCTGGCTGCCATGGCTCAGCCAGAAGACCAGAGGTCCTCCGTCCTCAGGGGCTGGCTTCATCAGGGCATTCCGGGCGGCCTGCTGCTGAACCGGCCAGCATCACCGTCAGCACCGCCGTCACCATGGTGGCTCCTCTTCCAAAGTTCAGGAATTCTCAGGCTTGGGACCCACAATGTGTAGCTTTGCCAAAAGAAAGTTTACAACTTTGCCTACGTGCCCTTTATAAAGAACTTTTTAAAAAACATGTTTCCTGCTGTGTTAGCCCCTGCACTAATCGCTTTCACAGTCTGCAGGGTACCTGCCCTGTCTGGCCTCACCAGGACCAGTTCACCCATCAACCCCTCTCTGTCCACCGCAGTCTCCATGTGTCCTATGTTCTTTCTCCGATTTGCTAGGTTTGGGTAGAGGTCTCTGGGGTACATTATGGAAGGACTGTGTGGCTCTGTGCCTTCTGTGTCTGGATACCCAAAAGTGCCTTTGCTCTCCCCCGTTAGATGAACGATCGGTCATAGAATTCGCGTCTGGAGTCTTCCTTCCCCAGAGTACTCTGCGAAAGACCACGTCTGTTGCCTCCCAGCACCTGGACAGGCTGAGCAGAGTCGTGTGGCGGCTGATCCTCACTCTTCTGTAGGTACCTGTTTTATTCCTTCTTCTTGAAAGTTGTTCTCTCTCTGCAGGTTTCAGATATTTCACCAGGCAGTCACTGATGTCTCTCCTTCGGCTTGCCTGTGTGGTGACTGGGCAGGTCCTGCTGAGATGAAGCCGCAGGCGCCCTGGGACTTTCTCAGAGATTTCTGAGATGCTGTCCTGGCCTCCCTCCTCTCCATCCCTGCCACCCAGGGAGCCGGTCGGACTGCCGGTGCCTGGCCTCCCGGGTTCCTGGCATCTTCTTTCCTGGTTTCCACTTTCCTGGGTTTTTCTTCTGTTGAGAGATTTGCTCATTTTTGTCACTCATGTCACTCTGTCTTCGAGCTTCTCTTGAGAGTTTTGTTTTGTTTTCCTAAGTTAGCAACAAAATAGTTACTGTCTGTGCTTTTTCTTTCTTCATACCTGGTTTTTCTCATTTCACAGAAGTAAGACCCTTGCATCAATTTAGGGATACCAATTTGAGTTTAGGGGTTATTCACATCAGTATCTGAATTAAATTTCACAGTCTTTAATCTGCTTGGCTTGGCACTTACCCTTTAGATGGCTGGATTTTTATTTGGTTAGCAGTCTTCAAGCCTCCTTTTCTTGATGCTTATTTTTCAGATTGTCATTTTTCCTCAAGTACATGAGCCCTTTTTTGTGTTCTGTGTGAACAGAAAGGTAAAAATCTCATCAGATTGATTTAGAGAGCTGCTGTGTGTTTGCTCAGCATGCACAGGTCTGTTTCCTCGGCTGGCTTTTCCCGTGAATGAAAGGACTGACTTAGAGCTTTTGGTGTGAACTGCTGGGAGATGTGCTCACACAGGCTTCTGCTCCGGCTGCACAGAGCAGGGCAAGCACGCGGAGAGCCCCTTCCCCTGCCAAAGCAGCAGTGCCTTACCTGATAGCACATTCGAGATGCCTTAAAACAAAAGCTGTGACCGGTCAGGGTGCTAAGCACAGTACTTGGCTTCTCTCTTTGGTTGCAAAGTTCACACAGATTCCTGGAGGCAGTTCTCTGCTTTGTATAGGGACTGTTTGTTCTGAGCATTCACCCTCGGCCAACCCCCCTTGGTGAGGAAGCCCCCAGAGAGTGTGGCAGTCCTCAGGCTCCCTATTCTTCAGCCCAGAACCCACGTCACTTTGGCTGCAGCTGCTCTGAGCTGGGAGATCTAGCCAGGCTCTGAAAAGAGCTTGAGACGTTCTTATGAAGGGGTGAGCACACTGCCTCTAGGACCGCCTCCTACTCTGTATCTTCCAGAAACTAGTCAAAATTTGCTACTTGCCAGTGGCCCCTTCCCAGTACCCCTCTGCTCTGATACATATGTGGGTGTTGTTATGTCTCTCCCGTTGTTGTTTTGGAGGCAGAGGAGATAAATATGTGTGCCCAGACCAGTGTTGTTAGGAGTGTCACTTACTCTTGACATTGTCACCACCAGTGGTTTCTGAGACATTCTTCATTTGTCCAGCAGCTGCTGAGCAAGCGGCACCGTGGACCAGGGGTGCTCTTGACGCTGCAGGCACAGCTGCCAACTCCTGGGTCTGGTTCCTTCTTGTCGCCAGGGCCCACTCTCCTTCTCCTGGCGGCCCTCGGGCTCAGCGTCCTCAGCCTCTCTGTTCTTTAGCAGCAAGTTCCAGCCCTGAGAGACTCTTGATTTCCAAAGACTCAATCTTTCCTGGGCTGCAAGACCTTGTCTCACAGATCTTAAATATAACATGTCCAAGATCTCTCTCTCCTTCTGCCGAACCCATTCTTTCTTCCTGTTTTGTCAGCCTCGGTAGATAGCTCCAGCGTTGACCCAGCTGCTCTTGCAGATAACGGGGGAGGAATGCTCCATTTTTACCTCATTCTACAACCAATTGCTGATCAGTTCCATTTAGAATCAGCTCCCACTTCTCAGTCCTCTGCTACTACGTTAAAAAAGGTGGTCATCTCTTACAATAGTCCATTATCTCTTCTTTGACTTCCCTTCTCACGCTGCTCCGCACTATTGACATTTTGGGCCAGAGAATTCTTTGTTGTAGGGGCCGCCCTGCACATTATAGGTGATGAGTAGCATGACTCCGCCCACTGTATCCCAGGAGGACCCCTCCCTTGGTGGTGCCAACTGAAAATGGCTCTGGACGTTTTCCAAAGGCCCCCTGGCAAGCCAAAGCATGTTGATTGCGAGCCACTACTTTCAAACACTCTCAGCTCTGCTTCTAGAGCATCACTTTCAAAATATAAATCTGGTCATGTTACTTCTTTATATG